GACCAGGCCTAGGGACCCTACCTGTGCACAAATTTTGTGCACTGGGCCTCTAGTTTTTAAATAAGAGCACGGTTAACAGTGTTTTCATAAGCAGGAGCTCTAAGCAATGTCAGGTGACAATACGTTCTTAAAGGTGCATCCTATATAATAAAAGCTTAGTATGCTAAGTGTCCAGTCGTCTGTTCAATCAATCAAAGCGTAATATGCTAATGATATGCTAAGGCCATTCAACCGCTTGCTATGACATGCATTTGACCACTAGGGGGCAGACAGTCAACTGGTTGACCAGTTGCTATGATGTGCACTGACCAACAGGGGGCAGACGCCCTGACCAGTAGGTTAGCTTGCTGCTGGGGTCCTGCAGATCAGGACTGAGCAAGATGGGCTGGAGCCCTCCCCGGCTGGCCAAACTCCCGCATCCCTCCCCAGCCTCTATCGTGTACTGGTGGGGTCTCTCGGGCTGGCCTGTGCCCTCTTGGATTCAGCTCAACCGTGGAATGACTGGTCGCTATGGTGTGCCCTGACCACCAGGGGGCGGACGCTCAACACAGAAGCTGCCCCCTGGTGTTCAATGCTCTCCCCAAGGGGGAGTGCTGCTCAGCCAGAAGCCGAGCTCACACTAAGGAGCTCGAGGGCTGAGGGACCCTCCACCTCCGCCCCCTGAGTGCACGAATTTCGTGCACTGGGCCTCTAATATACAGATAATAGGGTGGGACAATAGGCAGTCTTTAAGGAAGATGAAAATGGTCTTGTGGTAGAGCAGTTTTAAATGTTTTGGGCTTTGTTCACATTTTACTGTTTATGAGTATAAGCAGCAGTTTTTGATTCCTAGCTATACTTGCCTTCACACCCAGTAACCATTTTTTCCTATTCAATAGTGAAATGAATGCAGGAATTATAAAAACAGATCAAAACTATGAAAAGATGATGTTTAAAGAAGCTTTGAAAACAGGGTTTTTTGAGTTGCAGGTAGGCTGTTCATTTTTTTAATAGCTATAGAATATGTCAGTGTCTATATTATGTGTTTTCCCCTTTTTCTCTCCTGCTCTATCATCACAACTCATCTAAAGTGGAGACTGGAAATTTTGTTAAGAAATTTAAAAATTCTTCAATAAATTGTCATTATAACTAGTTTTCTTTGGTATTTTTTATGTTGTGTTCATTTAACATAAGTAATTCTGTTTCTAGTTGAGCTATGAGCATTAATAAAGAGATTAAATTTAAAAATCAATAATTCCTTCCAGAAAAACATTTCTAAGTTGATAAAAAATAAAGGCATAAAAAGGTAAAAGAAAAATAAAGGCATAATGGTAACTGCTTTTAGTTTGAAAATCAGTATTTTCTGAGTTTTTCCACAAGGTGTCAGTATTTTCTCAAGTTTGGCAGTTCAAGTGCTTAAAGTGAAAATGTAGCTTTACTCAAAATCAGTTGTGTTGAATATCACATTGGGATTTCTGTAACCTGGTTTTCATAGATGTGGTTAAATAAGGGTAAGTGCTGAGCTTAGCAGTGTGTCATAGGTATAGCCTGTTTTGATACTTAATATCTTTTCGATATGCCGAGCGTTTGCCCTTAGTATACAGTTTAAATTGCTCAGCTGTTACAAAATGTCTTTTCAAAAACTTTTTCTTCAGACTCATAAAACTGCAGTATCCTTTGGACATGGATTGATATACATTTACTTGCAAATTTTTAAAGTAATACCTTTATAAAAATTCATTATGGAATTTTAAAAAACTAAAACTTAAAAATGCGTAACTAAGTTATCATTAAGAAATTTTTATTAAATTATTTAAAAATATGTTTTTATTATTATTATTTTTTTAGAGAGACAGGAAGGAAGAGGGATAGGGAGATAGAAACATCAATGAGAGAACATTGATCGGCAGTTAAGAGAGATACTGATTTTTTTCTCTTTACTTTTATTCTAAAGAAGTATGGGGAGAGAAATGGTAAATGATTTCCAATTTTATAGGCCGCGAAAGATAAGTACCGTGA